TCTTTCTCCCCCCTTCTTTCTCCTTCTCTCCCCCTCACCATCTCCCTCTTGCTACTTCTCCCGCGCTCCCAATTTGTTTGCCCTGGCCACGTGTTTGAGTAATGTGTTATCGTCTCAGGAATGTACACTCTTTGTTACGGGGCTTTTCCCTCCGCGCCGCCGGCCCGTCCGCCCATACATACGTTTACCTAGTCCCCACTGCGACACTGCGAGGAATAACGAGATGGAAGTTGCGTTACCTACATTGTGTGTAAACACTGAATTGTTTATGAAATTATTTTGCACGCAGCTTGCATTTCTGTAAACATGCACCACTGCGCATTTTTCGGTATTATTTTTATTTGCAGCCATAAAAAAATTGGAGACATATTTTCAGCTGCTGCCCATGAACCATTTATTTTGTCCACATCAGGGTATCAAATAAAAAACGCTGTAGCTCATGTTCACCACTGGAAAAACTAAGGCACTAAACAACACCTTTCCTGGGGCACTAAAGTCAAGGGCGCAATTTAGTGCCTTTCCTGGGGCACTAAAGTTTCGTGCCTTTCCAAAGGAACAAAACTTTAGTGCCTTTGGAAAGGCTCTAAACTTTGTAAGTGCCTTTTAAGGGTAGGGATTCTCACCTTTTTTTCCCAGCCTGTTTCCACCTGTTTTTCCAGCACATAAATGCGCAAGTGCGTTTAGAAAACTTTATTAGTGAGTACGGTATTACTCGTCCTGACTAAGCATTAATTTCGCAGTCATTACATGTACATACAGGGAAGGGGGTCGGACTAATCTCGATCCCAGTGTATGATAATGCATATTTGACTGACGCTCGCAAGTTCAAAATTGTCTTGATTTAAGATCACTGATCACTGATACTTTTCTTACATTGGTAGTCAGTAAAATTCTGATTAATCTGTGGACAAAAACAAAGAAAGAAAAAGACTTGAAGGTCGCTACACTGAATTGCACACAATACCGCAAGCTCGCATAACGCCTGATAGGTATGCAACACCTTACCTCCTGCGCATGTGTGTACTGTACGGTGGCCTACCCTGAGTCTCGCAGGCGCTGAGTTCCCCTTATTTGGCAAATGAATGTGAGAATTATAAACGTACTTTCTGGACTAGGCATTCCAAATTTTTGACGATATTTTTTCTCAGCGTACTGGCAGTCGAAGTAGGCAACCCGCGAACATGCTTGCGTGGCGTGTGGCATAGTAACTGCGGGAGTGGGCGAGAAAAATATAGGCCACCTGGCATGTAAGTTATTTTTACTTTGTTGTGACGACGATGCTAGGTTTTATAGATAAAAAACAAAAACATATGTCAGTCGTAATCTTGATTCTACAATTCTGAAAATTACACGAGATAGTCAGGCTGGGCCAGGACAGGCCAGAAGAAAGAAACAAATGACAGAGATAATTTTTTCATGGTAAAAGGGGAGTGGGGGCTGCAATCAGTGGTTGTCATTGGTGTGGAGCGTGAATCAGTGGTGCACTTTGCCCCGCAGTGCACGGACGTGTCCAACGCGTCCACCTCCCGAGCGGGGCTGCGGCAGCTTGCGGCAGGCTGCCCTGCGGTGGTCAGGCTCGAGACCTGCGCCGCGCGGGGCGCGG